TCTGAAGAATGTGTGCAAATTCAATTTAGGGAAAAAAGTGAGAGGTTTTTATGTTTAGTAGTCAGAAAAGGCATTTTGAGTCACACAAATCCAGTGCCAGATGTAAGGCTAACTATTGGCTGAACACTGACCATGTGTTTGAGCTGTGCGGATATGAAAACCCCTCCCAGAGCCAGATCTGCATTGCAGTCAAGGAGAGAACAAGATTTATTTCCCCTGCCCTATTCTCTTGCACAGATACGTAGGCAAGTAAGAAATCCACCTGCAGTTCCACGCCTTAATAAAATGTACTAAATAAACCTTACTATTTAGCTAGTTGTACAATTACTGCTAACCAGTGTTTTTCAAATCTTAGTAACAAAGCATGAACACTAAGACCAAGTACAATCATATGCTACTTTTTACGATTTTCATTTCAAGAACAGCAGATGCTGCCTGCTACATTCTCCATTTTTATTCTTTCTTCTACATCTCAAGGCTTTTTTCTTCCCATGTGGACAACATGAATCCCAATTAAAAATTATTCTGCAAATCTTGTATTTCTTACCTTTTTCACAGTTGTGATGATTTTATTACACAAATTGTAGCACTGCTGACTCCTCATGCACTGGCATCTGAAATACAACATATTAAATTTCATTTTACATGGGGTTTTCAACTGTAAGTGGCTATCACATTCTATTTTCCCCTAGCAATACATAGACTCCTTTCTATCTGATCTACATTTAAAGAAAACTTATGTTTGCTAACAAAAAAAATATAGCATAAACAAAGTATATTGCTTTTAAGAAAGTCCTAAATTTACCCTAGAGCCTTGTGTAAACCAAGCAGCATAAAACGTAAGGCATACAATACTTTGTCTCAAGTAAGCTCCTTAAATATGATTGTTGACACTTTAACATGACAACTTTACAGTTTGTCTAGGGCATAATTTTGCTAGTAACAGAATTCCCCCTATCCTAAGTTCTAGACAATAAATATTAAATTCTTGTGCACAAAGTTACAGAGCCAGCTATGTTATAATGGCATCTCAGCAAGCTATCTTTCCTTCACTGTTAGAGTTTTTCTTGTTCGGTTAGTCCTAATGTCATTCCCAATGCACACTTCTTCCTTTAATTTTTGTCAGAAGGGTTCAAGCAAATAAAATTTTAAGAAGAAAATTTGGATTAAACAGAAAGAGATCAGGTTATGGAATAAAATAGAGTCTAATATGTTCAGAATTAATTAGCATTCAAAGAGCAGAGCATATGGGGAAAAATGTTTAGGAAATTGTTCATTTTTATAGCAATCCAAAACACAGGATTTTTTTCCATATTACATGCCTGGTAAAAACATAAAGTATTCTAAAAATAAACATTTTATATAGAGATATAATTTGTAGAAAGAATTAATCCCATGTCCCTGAATGAAACCAAAATATGCCAAGGGCAAGCAGTTTAAAAGTATTTTTATTTGAGCTAGTTGCTAATTGTTTGATATCTCTCATTTCCTGGACCACAGCTCTGAGATATAGCTCTTGAGGAATACAAATCATGCAAAATTGATCTAAGGTCTCTGACAGATGGAGCCTAATGGACATATTTGTAAGAGTTTGGTGCTATTTCCCCAAATGTTTGCTGGAGATTACTAAAGCTGTACTAGGCTGGTGGACAAGTATGTGTGGGTTTGCTTTGAACTAGCTCATAGACTGACATACTACTTCAAATGCACCTTTATCAATTATTAAAGTTAATACAGGAGACTGTAAATTGAACCAGCTGATGTATCTACATGCATTCAGTGACTTCCATGGGAAAAAAGCAGACAGAAAGGGGAAATACTATTTCAAATCACTATAATTAAATCCTCCATAGACTGCCAGAGTTCTGAGGCACAAGACACTTGAATTGGCATAATCTGAAGTGGAAAGGGTCTTTAGGATTTGTTGTTTCTGGCGTGTGTGTATGTATACAAATGTATGGATGTATACATGTATGTGTATACAAAGAGTATTATTAACAATTTCTGAAATAAAGCGAATACTGTAGCATAATCATACTACTAATTCTGATATCAAGAATCAGGTTATTGGTTCTATGTATTTTTTAATTAATGAAGTAAAAGGTTTTCATGCACCCTGCACTGCATACAAGAGGAATTGCCAAAATGTTACCAGACTTTACACTAATATATTATTCTGTCTTTGTTCCGCGAAGCTCAGCAACTTAAATCAAATTCAGAGATGAAAACAATTGTTTCTAAATGAAGATAGCAGAAGCTGCAGTTGCTTGCACAATAGTCAAGTGTCTGCAGTAACACTTGCCCATGTTTAAATATACCATATTTCTACAACCCAGAAAAAAGAACGTTAAACAATCTTTTGTCTTGAAGCTCACACCAATGTTTTACTATGCAGCACTTAGGCCTTCTTATCAAAATTGTAGTTTGTGTCCTTTTCAAAGTCTGAATCTCAAATATATTCAAACCAACTATATTTGCAAAACTGTCATCACAATACTAACATTTAATTAATAACGAGGCCATTTGTTTCTGCAATCTAAGAGGTTTACGGAAAATATATTTGGTTGAGTGAATTGGCTCCATTAACATTACTATTCCGGAGACTAGGATTCAAGATCAATTTCAAATTCACATCTTAATCTCTGTGTAACACTAAAAAGAGGCTTTGGACAATTTCACCAACAATATTTATATATCCAAAGATTCACTTCACAAACAAATGCTGTGTAAGAATCAAGCAATAAAAACCTCCAACAAACCCACAACAAAAAGGGACAATGAAAAGAAACTGATATTTCAGCCACAGAAATATATAAAAGATAAAAGCCTTTCCCAGTTGTTTTGGGTTTTTTTTTTGTTTTGGTTTGGGTTTTTTTTTTTTTTTTTGTTTGTTTGTTTGGTTTGGTTTGGTTTTTTTTTTTGAACCAGGTACAAACTACTGTTCCCTTGGCTTACAAAGAGGAGAATACATGTTTGAAAACACTGCTAGGAAAAAAAGAAAGTCATGTTAGCCATCTGCATAGATCACCAAAACTGCATTTGCTACATAATATGAAACTTCATCTGACTATGAAACTACACCATCCAGAATAAATACAGGTGTATTAAATGTTTCATTTTCTCTTTAGGAAATGGGTGATCCAAAATGGGAAGCAATATTCTACTAGATAACAACCAACCTGAAAACATTTTAATGGCAGAAAAATGTTTGCCTGAATTAAAAATTATAATTTTTCATCTAAGACCTAAGCTTGTGGATAATTTTCAACAGCAACTGCATATCTTTGTAAAATGTACATCTCCCTCATTTACTGGTTTTCCTTTTATGTCAGTGCAGTAAGCACAATACTATAAAATTATTACGTTCTGTACAATTGATTACACATAAGGGAGGACGATCATGAACTGAAACTGTAGAATTCAAATGTGATCTGCCTATGGCTGTGCAGCCAAATGAGACTGCAAGACAATCAGCCTCCATGAGTGACACTTAACTGTGAAATGAATGACAATCAAACTAACAAAGGCACGGTGTTCTTCAAATTCGGTGAGGCAGCTCCTGTGTAAACTACAAGAACCTTTGAAACTAAAAGACATATTTAGCCAGTACTGTTATCTGTCTCTCAGTATTCTCACCCTGTGGGTAACAGGGGCAAGAGAACAAGCAACATAAATGATGCATATATGAAGCAAATTATTTGAAATAAAAAGTTAAATTGTATGGTTTACTTGGTTGGGAGAAGGAAAATGAGAAATTGCTAGTTTTGGTCTCAGTGCAAAGAGTATCTGGAGGCTGCTGAGATTTCAAGTGAGTTTTACTTTCTAGGAAGTCACCTACCTTCTCACAGAGATCAAAATAGAGGAATAATCTAAAAATTTCTTTCAACTTCTATATAAAATAGTAGTTAGAACATTTGTAAACCTATTGGGAATTTCTCTACTTAATAGGAAAATTCTCTTTAGTTAGAGAAATCAAACAGGTTTTGGCACTTGCATAAATGAAAGATGCTAATCTGAAACTCAAAGATTATCTTTTCCTCTTTTCTGTTTTTATTGTTGCTGTTGCTGGAATTGCGAGGTAAAGATATAAAGAAATTCGATTAGCAGCTAATACTAAACTTCCTAACTCTTTCAGTCAAGCATTTCATATGGGGGGAACCCACCTACAAACCTTTCAGCAAAACCACATTGACTGGTTTACTCCTATATATAGCATAAAGATATTTTTAAAGGGTCTAAGCGCCAATGCCTCCTGCCTAGGTTAGGTCATCATTCTGAAATAGCTACTGGTACTGTGAGAGGATGGAGATAACCAAGCCTGAAGAAACGTTGACTTTAACAATAGGGTTTTATAATGCTCTTTTTCCTGATGTCATTTTACCGATAAGGAAAAAAATGTTAAGTATGTGCTTAACTATGCTTTAGTCTTGCAGAAGACCCTTTCTTTTAAAATTTCTATGTTAGTTTATGATGATAAACACAATTACAAGATACAGTCAACACCTCTGCTTAAGAGGATAGGTTTGTAAAACTTATTGCTTGGATTTCTTTTGGTATTCAACCAGAAGTACGCTAACCTACCCGCACTTTCAAAGGGTGAGTGCTAAACAGTCTCTGGAGAGCAAATCTTTTCGTTGCCTCTTTGCAGCGTCTCCAGGATACAAACAGTATGCGGAGACAAATAGCTTCTTTTAGAAGGTCCTGAGAGCCTCAGGTGTACCCTGATACTTCTGCAGAAATCCTCTGCAAATGTCACATTGCCCACCTTTCCTTCTCTTTCCTACAAAGTACTCCCACCCGCCTGAACAACAACCTCTCTCAAGGGCGGCATTTCGCTGGCGCCCCTCGGGCAGAGCAGCCCCCCCGGCTGCCGAGGTCCCGCCCTGCGAGCGGCGGGCTGCGCTCGGGGCCCTGGGCAGGAGGCAGGGGCGGGCAGCCGTGGCGGGGGGAGGCCGCAGAGCCGGCGGGGCAGCCTTACATGGAGCGGGGAGGCGGTGCCGGCCGCTGCGCACCAGTCACGGCTGCGCGCCGGCGCCGCCACCCCCACAGCGGGCGGCGGTTCGTGCGCTAGGCCAGCTGCCGGCGTGGGACGGCGGAGGGCGGGAAGGCGCTTAACCGGAGGCTGGCACGGTTATATCTTCTCTTCTCTCTCCTATCCTACCCTACCCCCACCTCCCCCTCCCCAGCTGCCCTCGCTCCCGCCTTTGCGCGCCCTCTCGGTGGGGAAGGGGCCGCTCCGCCTCAGCGGGGCCCGGGGCTCGCGGCGCGGCGCGGCGGGCGGGGGGAAGGGCGGCGGCGAGCGCTGAGAAGAAAGCGGTAACGGCGCGCGCGCGCGCGGCTGCCATCCCCCCCCTCCCCCCCCCCCCCCGCCTTATCGCGCGATGCGCGGAGCCCGCCTTCCCGCCACGTGACCCCCTCCTCTACCCTCCCCCTCCTCTTCCTCTCGGCTCCATATTGGTAGGGAAAGAGGCGAGCCTGGTCACAAAATGGAGGTAACTGCCCGCCGCGTGGAGGGAGCGGGGCTCGCTAGGCTGAGCTGAGGCGAGGGTGGAAGGGGAGGTGAAGCGGCCGCCCCGCCCTCCGCGGAGGTTCGAGCTGGTTTAACGCCCCGCCAGAGCCGCCGGGCGGGCGGGGGGAGCGCTGGGCGCGGCGGGCTGGAGGCTGGGGGTGGGTGGGCGGCACTAATGGTGCCCCTCGCTGTTACCGCTGCCGCCCCGCAGCGCCCGCCGCCTCCTTGCAGCGTTTCTGCCACGCTCCCGGCCGGTTTTTCCCTGCGACATGGCGCATTAGCCCGCAATGGCGGCCGTTGGCAGGAAGAGAGAAGATGCGGCAGAGGCTGCGCTTCCGCTGTGCGGCCCCTGGGGCACAGCGGCTGCGGCCGCCATTTCGCTGCGCTTTGGAGGGTGGGTGGGGAAGGCCTGGCCCTAGGCTTGGGGCAGGGCTGTGGGTAGCAAAGGCCCCCTCTGCTAACGTAGGGGGGATACCGAAAAGCTTAGGCGCGCCTTCGGGCGAGAGTGGGGAGAAGCGAGTCCCGCACATGTGTGTGTCATTGTTCTGGCCTCCCACGTAGGCTACCCGGAGTAGTGCGCTAGGGATATTATTTTCCCGCTCATTTTCCTGGGAACAGATCTTTAAAGCACTAAGGCTGTTTAGTCTAGTATGCTGTTTCTCGTTCAGGAATGCTGGTACACGTTGCAGCACCTCCCTAATATCCCCCCCGCCCTTTCCAAGGGGAGTTGGCACGTGTAGCGAGCTTTTGCTACCCGAGGAGGTAGGGGAAAGCATAATGCACAGCTCTTGGCTTCTCTTCCCTTTCTCCTTTCCTCCAGCCACACATGCACAAGAGCCACGACATTCGGTGGCATCCCGCCATGAGCCTGGTGGGCAATGCGAAGCAGTCTTGCACAGACCTTAGTTAAAATTTTCCTTGTCTTGAATGAAATCGAGATCAAATGCAGACTTGGGCAATCATCCACACCCTACCTGGAGGGAAATACTATCATAATATCATCCTCCCCCCGCCCTTGCTTTTCTTTCTTCCCCTCAAAACCTAAGGTTTTTTGCTCAGGTATTTCAAGTAAAGTACAGTGAGCAAAACTGGTCCAGATTTTTTATATGGTGCCTTTTTTTTTTTTTGTCTCGACCCCCTCCATTGCAGGCTAAAACCTTATAAAATTGAGAACAGGAATTAACAGATCACACTAGTTTCTGTTCCTACATTAAAAGCAGAAAATAAACTGGATCACTTAACAAAATGGCTAAAAATAACTTTCCCATGTACGCAATTGTTTTAGCTGCTTCATGGTTGGTGAATAGTTGGACAATTGGGAGGAATGATGGATTCAAAGCATTTGAACATACTTCAGTAAAGCTTGGAAACCCATCGCATAAGTTATTAAGCTAATATCTTATTTTCTTCCCAGCAGAAGTTCCTATTGGCGTTGAGATTAAACTGCCACCACACGTAGAGCTGAAAATCTATTGTTTTGTTGCTTTTAACTATTAGGTTTGGCACAGTATACTGTATGCACATTAGGTCCAACTTTAGCTATTTACAGAAATGACCAGTACATCTCCATAGTATGATCTGAATGGACAGGTAAACTACCATCTGGGGAATGACTGTTTCACCTCTGTTATCTTCTTGTCTCTGAGAAAGATAAACAGTGGCATTGTAAGCTTCTCTAAATAATGAAGCATCTTCTAGTGACTTTCTTCTCATCATAACTAACAGATTTGTTCTGAGACTACTTTCGGTTAAGTTGCATTATACAGCTGTTTCAGTGCTAGTTTCACTCAGCTTGTTCTGAGTATTTTTATTTAGAGTTGAATATAGTGTTTTGTTGGTGTTAAATATTAAAAAAAAAAAAAGCTAAAATTGTCAGGTTTTCTTAAACAACTTTCTATGAGGCAAGGTAGGAATGGGCTGAAGAGGGCTGTGTTCCACTTCAGCTGATGGTGAACATTAGCAAGGAGACAACTGTCTTTTACCATCTTGGCCTTCAGAGGCCATCGTGGCAGAGATCGTGCCTGAAAGCTTTATGTTGGCCAGCCTGGAGCCTCACTGGGGAAAGCAGGTGACAAAATCAGATAGGGATTGCATACTTTTAATTACTTTAAAAAAGTATTTAAATAGGCTAATCCCCTTCCTCCCTAACAATTCCCAAAGTTTTATTTTCCCATACAGCTACTTTTAAAAAAGCCCTTGAATTCTTAATGTTCTGTTTCATACCTCCCCTGCATGACTTAAGGAATTTAACAGCTCAGTTGAAACACTTAGTATCCTAATACCTCTTAAGTCAAACTGTTGTTTGAGTTAAAGGAATTCAAGAGCAGGTTTAACATTGTGTAGAGAGGAACTGAAGATAATACAAACACTTTGATATTACTTCATAAAACCTTTACAATTGTTAATGTGTTAAATCATGGTACTCATGATTTCACAGTTGAGTTTAATTCAAAGTTGGATTTTAACACAGAAATACATTAAATAATAATTTCCACATAACAGTGCATATTGGTCATTAGTAGAGAGATCTGCCTACCTTTCCCTATGCAGTACTTGCAGAAAGAAAACTTATAAACAACCCCCACAACCCAAACAAACAAAAACCCCACAAGAATACACCTAATCTTGTAAGTATCAATGACTTCAATGCAGCACAAGTATAGTTTTACAGAAGCATGTTATTTAGTTGACAGCATTGTATTTTGGCTACTGTAATAAAGTTTCAAGAAATATCCAAAGTTGTAGTGAATTGTAGCCAAAGTTACTAACATGACAAGATAAGATAAGTAACTTAATGATCTCCGAAAACTTGAAATAACAAAAACTAAAAGGAATGTGATAATTTTTTGTTTGGTGGTTTGAATGATTAGATATGGATTCATTCATCAAGCTTATCTTGTGAAATGCTTGTTTTTTGTAATGATACAAAACATTTATTGTGAAAAATTAGGTGTATAAATACAGAGTACAGGATAATAAGCGAATATATCACTTGGAAGCAAAACCCATGCAGATGACTAGTGCTACAGATTGCTGAGGATCAACTGTTAAAATTTTTGATGTTGCAAGAATGGAATCAGTGAAGGATTCTTGCACTGGTGTTAGTGGAAAATATTTTTCAATACAGAAAACATTTAACACATCCTCTAGTGTTCCAGGCTGCTGGATCACTGATGACAGTAGGATACACATAAGATAATTCTAATAAGCAGTATCTGCAAAATGGGGGTTTAAAATCTACAGAAGTATAATTTGATTTATATAGTGGGTTTCTGTATCAAAGGTAGAATTTGTTTGCCCTGTACAAGTTGTATTCATGATAGTTATGTAAGACTGTAATCAACATAGGTTGTTTTCTACAGATTTTGGCATTAGTTTCTACCTAGTTATTCCAACAGTTGTAAAAAGACCTTTACTGATAGCAGACGTTCGTTCTGTGGCTCTTAATTGTGAGCAGAATAGGCTGAGGATTTTTACTCTACCCTTTTAAATACTTACGTTTTTTCCACTTTCACCCCTCTCCCATTTCCTCCTATAAAGCCACACCTGTGCACTGCAGCCAGAGAAAGGCCCTGCTTCACAGGAATTGGGGTAAGTACTGACTTATCCAACCTGTTTTCTAGGTTTCCTAGATCTAAAAGAAAGGCTGAGTTAGAGTACCCTTCCAAAATGGCTGCTCTTAAGGAAGAGAGAGATGTGGAAGACTACAAGAGGAAAGGAAGACGATCCTCACAGGTGAGAGGATTGCGATTTTTATTTTAAAAGGTAGCTTTAAGGGGCAAAGATTTTGAAAAACCCAACTTAACTATTTCTATCTGATGTATTAATTCATTGCTTTTTTTCCTACCTTCTTCATCCCCATGTTAGCAGAGTAACTTTAAATTGCAGTGTATTACTTAACAATTTTAAGGGGTGGGGTGTTAAGCATAGTGGGGAGTTTTTGCTTTTTTAGTTTTCTGTTATAACAAAACTGATTAAATGTATGTTTGTGATTAAAGCAAGGTGTAGTAATTTTTAAGAAATTCATGCATCCTCAGAGTATCAGTAGGAACTTGATATTCCTTCCTATATTCAAAATCCTGTTTTTAGTGGGAATGAAGACAGGTTCTCTCTTGTTTGTTTTAATAAAAAATGGTTGCCTAATAGTCACTGCAAATGAAAGCGAGGCTGTACTAAGTAAAAATAACTGTTTTCTTTTGCTTCTAGCAGAAATACCGTAGACTGAATAAGGTGCGTAGTATAGAGAAGATGTTGGGGCTGTTCTGGGAGGATGGGAGCTAGTTACTTTGGGGCAGGGTGTGGAAATGGGAGGGGGGGAAAAAGTCTTAATATCCTCCAGAAAATAAACTCAATTTTAAGATCAGCAGGAGGGTATTAAATATGCTTATATAGCTTATAACTGAGATATTTTCTGATTGTTTATTTTGATTTGTTTGCTTTCTAACATTACTTTTCCAGGGTGCCTGAATATTTTTAGCTAGTTCAAACCTACTTTTTCGGGAATGATATACTACTGCAATGTGGGAGGGCCTATATGCCTGAATTGAGAACAAACATTGTTGAATTGCATGTATCTGGTAGTGTGTGGTTATTTTCTATTGAAGTATGGTGTGTAAAGTCCTTCTGGAAGGAATGTTGCAACTGTCTCACTGCTTTGGACTTTGGATAGAATGTAACTGGGTCACTCTGCTGTTTGCTAAATCAGCTCTTGTAGTTTACAAAAGTAGCTTGCCCTGGAATGTACTCAAAAGCTATTAAGTTTCTAGAGAAAATGTTTCACAGAGAAAGTTGGTGAGGCCCCAGTTGTGTCTAAGCTTTCGCGTTTCAGAGGGCAGTCCGTGATTGGACTGCCTGGGGTGTGGAGCAGTCTCAATTTACAGGTTTAGCCGCAGATAAGTGTAGGTGTGGTATCAGCATTTTGTGGACACTTGATGGTGTTTGTAGAAGTGTGATGCACAGGAGGACTCCAGCTGAAAAGACATCGTCTAGGCATATATACTGCAACCCCAAAAGGCTGATTATTCCAAACCCTTGCCACATGAAAGTTAAGTTTATAGCAAACTCAGAATAAAGGCAGTGTGTCTGCAGCAGCGCTGTTAAGAGGTCGGGATTTCTGCAAAGATTAGGATTTTTACAGGAATTCTGGGCGGGGGGTGTGCTAGTTGTTTTTTTTGTTGTTGTTGTTGGGTTTTTGTGTTTTTTTTTTTTTTATTCTGAGAGGTACTGTCAGCTTACGCTGACGGGAGGGGGTTAGGTGGGACGTAGGGCCCAGTAGTTCGATCTTGAATGGGGAGAAAGGGTGGCCCGAGGGAGCCGCATGCTCCGCCGCCGTGCAGGCCGCCCCCCGTCGCCGCTCCCGGGCTGGGCGGGGTCGGCGGGGCCCTCCCGTGGCGCCGCTGGGACGCGGCCGGCGGGGCGGGGGCTGCTGCGCGCGCGCCTTCCCGCGGCCCCGCCCCGCCGGCTCCATATTGTGGGTGGAGGAGACGAGATCGCTCACAAAATGGCGGCGGTCGGTGAGGCGGAGGGCCTTGGTTCGAGGGAGGAAGTGGCTAGTTAGGGCTGGAAGGAAAATTGCCCGCCACCTCAGAGCCTATAGATATGTTTGGGAAGTCCCTTAAACTGCCTAGGGGCGGAAAAAAAGGCTTCTTGCCAGCTTGCTGTCTGTATTCAGCCTGGGAGTTCTTGCCGCTGCTTCTCCCCCTCCCTCCCCCCTCTCCCTTCAAAGGAGCGCTGCAAAATGGCGTGCTGGCCTGCAGTATCGGCTGAGTGGGAGGGAGTCTGCTGATCTTGTTGAAGCCATGTGGTAGTTACACTAGTGAGGAAGGGAGAGATGTGTTGTGCAAGGATTGCTGCCCAGGACAGACTGCGGTTATAACCTAGCTTGCAACAGAAGGACTGAGAAACAAAATCTTGTGTGTTAGAGAACAGCACTCTGAAAACCCTAGAGATGATTAACCCCAGTGAGAACAAAATGCCTGAAAAAACCCAACTAATTCCCAAAGGAAATACTGCCTTTTATTTCTGTGGACAGTTCCTATAATATAGGTGGGTGTGTCCTGAGAATAATTTCTCTCAAATAGAAGAGAGAAGCTGTAACAGGAAGTGTTTTTCCTCCCATATGAGAATGACGGTTCATGGGCACATAATAAAATGGAGTGACCTGGGAAGTTCTGTGGTCATTCTTTTAAGGTAAAAGCAGTCTGAGTCGCCAGCAGAAAACTCCATGACCTTGAAGGGTGTCAGAGCACTGTAAAAAGTTTGCCTGGTTTTTCCTTACGTAAGTTTTTGGGTTTGGAGGAGTCTAAACTTTACAGTTTATAATAGTTCATAATAAATTTCCTTTAATATGCATAGGGGAATCTGACATACTTAATGTTCCCAACTTGAACATAACCCAGCTAAAAATTAAGTAGTATCAGTAGATTTAAAAAAAAAAATGCAATTAGCAACAGAAAACAGAATTTCACTTAATCTAAAGCAGTTTCTTTGTACAGTAGGTGTGTTATGCTATAAGATTTTAAGTTTACGTATAGTTAGAAGGGACATTTGTTTTGTTTTGTTTTTTATAATTCTGTAGTCCAGACCACTGAGAAGACTAGAAAAGAAGGTTTACTTTATAGTCAGGGGACCATTGGCTGTCAATCATTTATGTAATGTTCCTGTAATAACAAAGTTACATAAATAGAAGGTTGTTATTGAGAATGCTGGGGCTCTTTCTTGCTAAGTTTAGCAGGTGTAAGGGCAGGGATTTACTTCCCAGCCAGCTTTTCATAATCTTGGGAAATTGTCTCCTGTAGTAGAACCTGAACATTATAAACCAGTGGTTTCCTAAAGCAGTATGTAATTCAGAAATTCTCTTTTGCCATTTATTATTTCACAATATTCATTGCTCTTTAGGGTGGTTGAGTTGCACTCAAAGGGATGTACATTCCTCTGACCAACCCCAGCACTACTGCTCCCTTTATTTAAACTGTGGCAGAGGTTAAAGCACTTTATCTTCAGGTTTGAAGCAAGACATCTAAATGTAGAATTCTGTGGCTGGTTTTATGTAGTTTAGCTCTCAGGCTAATGCTGCATCTAGCTTAGGTTAACCCACTGCAGCAGAAACAGTGAAGCCTGTTATGCATTCATGCTGCAGAGTTGAAGTCATATGCAGCATAGCTAGCCAGCAGCATAGCTGACCAGCACCTCGTGGAGTTTTTTATATGCACAAAAGTACCAGCTTGCCAAATAAGATTTTAATCTGGTTGCTTTTTATAAGACTTTTCTGTCTTGGGGATGGGAGAAAGTTGTAAAATAATTTTTCTTAAACTCCTGTCAAATGTATGGGGATATTCCATGTCTAAAAAGTGCAACAATGAAAGAGAGCGGAAACACTAATGCACTTTGTAAGCCCACTTTAATCATGATATAGAAAACTGGCCTCTGATAATTAGCACATTTTAAACCGTGGTTGGTCATATATAGGTGATACTGTCAAGAGCTTCAATTAAACTTGCTTGTTTTATGGTGCTTGTTAAGGTACTAGTCTTTTTCCACTAATCGTACCAGCTACTGGTCATTGATGAGTCATTATTCAAGACTTTTTTTTTTATCTGTAAGATTTAAGTTCATGGTGATTAACATTTGAGAGGTGTTTCCCATAACAGTGAAAACCATATATGTACTTCTATTTTCTTGATTGCATTAACTCCACTTATAAAATTATCTGAGCATAAAATGTACAATTTTAAGGAATTGAGAATTGATAAATATTTTCAGAATGCATAAAAATAACCTTTCAAAATGGATATCCCGAAAGACTAGACACTCAATTTTGACAGTAACTTTTTTCCTTGTATACTGTTTGAACTTCCCTTTACCTAGCAGTGCTTCACTGCAAATCCCTACAGAGCAATATGCAACTCGAACATAAGATGGACATAAAATGAACTTCCGGAGGAGTTGAGAGCAACCAAATTATCTAGTATATTGAAATCTCTTTACAGTTGTTTGCATTTGAGCGCTCTTAAGTTGTTAGTTAGTTAGTGTTTTAATTAAAATCACACCTCATTAAATGTTTGCTATGGTGCTGTTTAAACCCATTAGAAGTCATTGTTTTTATGTATTTCACCTATTTGTTATAATGTACACAGATAATTTTTAGTAATTCTGTGAAATTTTAACTGTAGTTTGTATTAAAAATACATTTTTGATTTTTGATTTTGTAGGGCCATGAGCCAAAGGAGCCAGAGCAGTTGAGAAAGCTGTTCATTGGAGGTCTGAGCTTTGAAACAACAGATGACAGCTTGAGAGAGCACTTTGAAAAATGGGGCACGCTCACGGACTGTGTGGTAAAGTGTCAAATATTAGTTTGTGCTTTTGAAAGAATATAGGTACTTAATCTAGTACAGAAATGCAGAGTACCCCCTGTTTTTGCAGGTGATGAGAGACCCACAAACAAAACGTTCCAGAGGCTTCGGCTTTGTGACTTACTCTTGTGTGGAGGAGGTGGATGCTGCCATGAGTGCTCGACCACATAAGGTTGATGGACGCGTGGTTGAACCAAAGAGAGCAGTTTCAAGGGAGGTAAGTTAGTGTTTCGGTTAACCTTATTTCCTAATATTTGCCTAATAATTTAAAATACTGAATGTCATTTTTGCCATTGTAGGATTCTGTAAAGCCTGGAGCACATCTCACAGTAAAGAAAATATTTGTTGGTGGAATTAAAGAAGATACAGAAGAATATAACTTGAGGGAGTACTTTGAAAAATATGGCAAGATTGAAACCATAGAAGTCATGGAAGACAGGCAAAGCGGAAAGAAAAGAGGCTTTGCTTTTGTAACTTTCGATGATCATGATACAGTTGATAAAATTGTTGGTATGTAACTCTTTAGTGAGAAATGACTTACAGGATAAAAGTGTAACGTTAGATTTCAGAACAGCAATTAAAAGTATGGTCATCCCTTACAGTAGCTTTCTGTTGAGAGCTTTACAGCATATTGATTTTGGTAATTTGATTTTTCTAACTCTTTTCTCTTTCACAATTTTCTCTAGTTCAGAAATATCATACAATAAATGGACATAACTGTGAAGTGAAAAAAGCACTCTCAAAACAAGAGATGCAGACTGCTAGCTCTCAGAGAGGTGAGTTTGGAGTTGTGCATGGTTATTTTATGTAACTGGTTTTCAATGAATGTAATTGAAGTAAAATATTTTGTAGGTCGTGGTGGTGGCTCAGGCAACTTCATGGGTCGTGGAAACTTCGGAGGTGGTGGAGGGAACTTTGGCCGAGGAGGAAACTTCGGTGGAAGAGGTAAATGACTGGAATGTTTTTATAGAATGTGATGTCTGGTTTTTTTATTTCCTGTGTGATTGGCTTAAGCACTTAACACGTGTGTTCAGGAAAACGTTCTCATCTGTTCTGTGTTCCAGGAGGCTATGGGGGTGGTGGTGGCGGTGGTGGGAGCAGAGGAAGCTTTGGGGGTGGTGACGGATACAATGGATTTGGTGATGGTAAGTGTATTGTTCCCTTTCCCTCCTCCCCCTCCCCCCCACTTTATAACCAGCTGTAAGTCTTGCCTTCACCTTGGAAATGATATCTGCTTTAGTGATGTTTTCTGCACTGCAGAGCTGTGAAGAGTTAAAGGTTTTTTGTTTTCCCTACAAAATGATGGGTGGAAAAAACATACTCTTTATTTACCCTTTAAATAATTTCATGTCATGAGCTCATGCAGCAGCTGTTCATGATTATGAAGAACTAAGTAAAGATTCGGGTGTCAGTTGAGATGACTAAAACTTAATAAAGCAGTGACCAACTAACATACTAGAAATCTTCTCAATCAACTGTAAGACTTTTCATGGCTCAGTAGTATCTTTTTTCATGATAAAGTTTGAGTGTCCAAACTTCATCTGAAGAGAACTGTGGAGATTACCAAGTGGCTGTGGAAGTAGCATTCTGGGGGGGAGCAGAAATCCAGGAAGTAGTATGTAGTTACTTATGTCCTGATCCCATAAGCAGATGTATGTAGTGGTGTTGAGTTCCTTGGAATTATTTTGGAATTATTTCACAGTTTGGAACTGCTCCATCAAAATGTTGGAGACAGGATCAACATCTAGAATACAAAGTCTTCTAGATACACTTATTAACATAATGATTAGAAAAAAAGAATGTCCAGTCGCTTAGACACACATGTAAATAAATAAAGCTGTATGTCTAAATAAAAACTAAACCAGAATTCTTTTGAGGGCTTTGCCTACTTAAATCATTTCAGTTGAGGAATAGAGGATGATACACAGTATTGATAAAGCCATTTGTGTAAAGAGGCAGTTATTACCTGTAACAGCTGGTGGTGGTAGCACCATGTCTATGTATTTCTGTGAGCTAGCATAAACTTACAAGTATCATGCTTGAGGAGTATACATGAATTAATGGTATTTTTTTTTTTGTTTGGATTAAAGAGTTTAGACAAAAGATGCAACCACAGTGAATATAATACAGGGAAAACATTGAGGGACATTTTTATTGTGTGTTTTTGTTGGGGATTTTTTTGTTAAATGGACCTTTCCTTACGACTATTTAGCTTTGGTGTGTTTAGTTTGACTACTCTTTATCCACAGGTGGCAACTATGGAGGTGGTCCTGGCTATGGCAGCAGAGGAGGTTATGGTGGTGGTGGAGGACCAGGATATGGAAACCCAGGTGGTGGATATGGAGGTGGTGGAGGAGGATATGATGGCTACAATGAAGGAGGAAATTTTGGTGGTGGTAAGATGCCAGCTTTAACTGGACATCCACATTTAGGCAGGTCTGAGTTGTACAATGCCCGAAGTATGATACTGCATGAAATGAGTTGTACCATCAGGTCCCAGTGTAGAACACTGCGTTGCGTAAGGAAAGTTGTTTTCCATTTGGTTCAGCTTTGGTAGGCTATACAACACTGTTTTGCCTGGAACTTGTTTTTCAAAAAGCAGTGGCTATAAATCTGTATGTGGAGGTAGAGTAGGAGAAATTTGAAGCTTTTAACCATTTGCAGTATGCTGTTGCCATCAGGTACCAGTTCACATCATGTAGATCACATCTTCCTTTGTGAGGACTAGATATCTAAGTTTATGTAAGCTTTTTAATTCTTTGCCCCAAGTTTGGGGAGTTAAGCTGCAAAATCTGCTGCGTACTTTATTTCACCCTCTGATGTGTATATTCAGTGTGCCTGTTACACTTCCATCACTTTTTGGAGCAAATAAATTGTATGTAATTTATGTTACGGTCACACATGCAAAGTGTTGGGCAGTGGAAGAATGACAGTGAGACTCATGTGCTTCTCTGAGTTTGGAGGCATTAAATTTGGCGTATTCTACTAACTTCAAATTGCCTACTTAAATCTATATACACTTCCTAATGTCATGTGATGTTTTTCATCTTCAATGAAATACCAGTTTCTGATCTTGAGAATGCTAAGGGTCTCCTGTCATTCATGTGTTGTGAGCAGAGGTAGCATGCAAAATGCTTGCAATTCTATTTTAAATGGTTTTAAACAATTTACATTTACATTGGATGTCATTCTGGCAGCTGTTCAACACTCTACGTGTTGAGCAAAAGTGGCTTTATAAATCTTTATTTGTTTCAGGTAATTATGGTGGGAGTGGAAACTACAATGATTTTGGCAATTACAGTGGACAACAGCAGTCTAACTATGGTCCCATGAAAGGTGGTGGCAGCTTTGGTGGCAGAAGTTCAGGCAGTCCCTATGGTGGTAAATGTAATTTTGTACAGAAAGTATTTGTGGGGGTTCCAATTTCTTGTTATTCTTGTATTTCAATATACACCCTGTTTTTTGTAGGTGGTTATGGATCTGGAAGTGGAAGTGGGGGCTATGGTGGTAGAAGATTCTAAAATTGCTACCAGGAAAAGGGTAGGTGTAATGCATATTTATAATTATGATTAATAATGTACAACTGTTCACTGAGAGTAATAATTTTCTTATCCTGTATTCAACAGGCTACAGTTCTTAGCAGGAGAGAGAGCGAGGAGTTGTCAGGAAAGCTGCAGGTTACTTTGAGACAGTCGTCCCAAATGCATTAGAGGAACTGTAAAATCTGCCACAGAAGGAACGATGATCCATAGTCAGAAAAGTTACTGCAGCTTAAACAGGAAACCCTTCTTGTTCAGGACTGTCATAGCCACAGTTTGCAAAAAGTGCAGCTATTGATTAATGCAATGTAGTGTCGATTAGATGTACATTCCTGAGGTCTTTATCTGTTGTAGCTTTGTCTTTCTTTTTTCTTTTTATTTTCCCATTACATCAGGTATATTGCCCTGTAAATTGTGGTAGTGGTACCAGGAATAAACAAATTAAGGAATTTTTAACTTTTCAATATTTGTGTAGTTCAGTTTTTCCACATTTAGTACAGAGAACTCTATAACAGAAATAAAATGTAGTTTAGGGTGTTTCCTTGTTAGTTACTAGAGAGGATTAATGCATTTCTCAATTACTATTTTGTATTAATTTAAACTTAACAATAGAAACACCTATTGATTTGCAGTCTTAAGGGGTCTAGTCTCAGTGTATATATGTAACTGTCACTGACATGAGTTACATAGGCATACAGAGGGAAAACATCTGTATGTTGCATTATAGTTTGTTTAGATGTATAACTAGGATTGAGTTACTCAAATTAGTGTTTGTGAATTATAGAACTAAGCTTTACCTTAATGAAAACTTCAAATTACTTTTTGGTTTGTGCATATTTTTTTAATTTGTAGTTCTGTATTAGTACTAGCGCTTCAAGAAAATAAGGCATGATAAATATTTTAACAAGACCAACTTTAGACACATTAAAGCTGTCTCCCGTCTCATTTGAGATGTATAAGGGATAACTGCAGTTGCTAAAGTCTTGGGTGAAGAGAAAAAGAAACTTGCTTTTTACCTTTATATTTATTGTAATCCCCGAGAAGTTAAGGTGGGGGGGAATCAAGTGCCTGTTTCCTTGGGATATACAATGACTCTGTTTCAATAAAACTATACTTTGGGGAGGGTGGCTTGGAATTTTCATCCCCTTCCTTCGTCCCCATTTCCCTCCCCCTCACACCAGACTGCGCTGTTTCAATTAAATGAGGCGTCATAGTGAGAGTAATAGGTGTGTTCCTCCATGACTTAATGGCTATATACTTTCTTGCATGCACCCTAGGCAATTTTCTGGACACATTCTTCTGACTGGGAGCCAAGGGTAGCACAGGTGTAATCACTGACAGTCCCAGGTAACGCGTTCCAAAAGCCCCAGCACGATGGGCTCAAAGTAGCATAGTTCTCAAGTTCTTTCCCTTGCGAATGTCTGCACTCAGCTGAGAGCTCGAACACAAAACAAAACACACGATCTAGCTGTGCTTTACTGACTAGAACCACTTCCCACATGGTAGGAGGGCACAGTCTCGGGTTTCCACAGGTAGAATGATAGCGCGTTACGATTGGATTTGGTGCACTGGAGTAGCAAATCTTACCAGCACATGTGGCTAGAAATTGTACTTCATTCTCACTTCTGACCTCCAAATTAAGGCACTGCAGTCTGTCCTTTTCTCATCCGATTTTGATGTGAATTCTCTCGACTGTTGCCAGGACAGTGCTTTCTGTCAATTCAGACTCAGAAGAGTAGGGACCCAGTCAATAGAAGAAATGCTCAGACACTTGACAATATGGTATTGGAATTATTCACACCCGTTCCACTTCTGGGTCATTGTGCAGTATAAGGTAAATGCGATTCCAGTGTAGGAATGAATCTGCAAAGAGGTATGAAATGGCTCAAGGAATAATCAGTCCTATTAATAATGAATTACCATTTTAAGAAGTAGTAGACAAATGAGTGTGTTGTTTGAAAAAATTAAACAATGTTATTTAAACACTGTTATTGGAGTGTATTTAGACTGCAGTACACTAAAACAAGGAACCGGTGTCAAGATGGTAGCCTCCAAACTGGATTTCAAAGTCTGCTTATTCTTTTCTGTGGAGTTTAAAGTATCTCTAAAGTGAAAGCAAGAATTGGTGATTTAGTGAACGCTTCTGTTGTTGTACACGTTAATTTGGGCTCGGGGTGGGGAGGAGGCTGTATTTCAATAAAGGCGTTTTTTAAACAACCCACTTTGGAGTTTGCAAACATTGGAAACTAAAACACGACTCACTAGGGAGTGACCCACGTAACCACCGACTTGCTTTGTACGTTACTATGCTTAGAAGATGTGTAGACTTGTACCTGGGCCTGCATCTGATTGCAGGGACGACTGGAGGATGGGGGTGATGTCCCTTCTGACGATTGATCTGGTATTTCTAAATTTTTTTAGAATGTATTGACAGTGTTCTTTTTAACAGGGCCTCTTGTAGCTGTACTGTGACAACAATGTTAACTTTGAACAATAGTGTCATAATAAACTTTATGAACAAGATCTGTATGCAACCTTTTAAGAGATGGATGTAAGTGACGGCTGTGTAGGTGGGTGGGGTAGCTTAGCTGTTGTCTGTGACGTGGAAAAGTGTGAGCCGTGAGGACAGTGCTTAACCAGCTTTAAAGAATCTAGGATGTACTTCTCTGATCCATACTCTGCTAAGGAGACTCGTAAGACAGGACTTCAGCAGCCTATTGAGTATGGAGAAGTCAGCCTAATTAAAGAATGACAAGGCAGCAGGAGCAACAGCTTCAACTTCCAGAAAAGTGAAGGCATAAGATTCTGTGCTGATAGTGAGCAGCTTTCCAAAGGCTAGTTAAATCTGCTTGTCACAGCTGAAATATCGAAGAAAGTCTAGCAAGAGTTCTTCACCTTTTGGAACCTCCTTGAGTGATAGCTACTTGAGTTGACTCAAAATCGATAGGTCTAGCATTTAGACCTGAAAGGAAGGGCAATGAGCATAGGTAAGGTTTGCCTTTAAAATTTTTCATGAATTATAAAGAGTAGCGGGAGGTTTTTAAACAAGGTAAGAGTAATGTCTTTAATTTTCAGGTTGAATGAGAAGCTGCTGCTTGACAAAATGGGGAATGTCTTGCACATCTTCAGTTGAAGGTTTCTGACTGGGTAAGATCTGTAGCGTATAGTCAAACATGTTTTAACTGTTATTTCCTCCTAGGCTTTCCTTTGTCAGCCTTTTAGTATCAGGGAAAGCCTTAAGGAGCAAGTATTCCAGCATACGTCCTCCAGTGGTTCTGTTCTGGGTGAGGGGTGCTTGCTGGCATAGTTGCTGTTCCAGAATCTTTTGTGTGTCTGAGATCAACAAGACAAAAATAATGAATGTTTTGAAATGGGTGCTCTGGGGGGAGTGTACGGGGTGGGGGGTGGGGCGTGGGTGGAGAAATTCTTCGTTACCTTGTAATAGAGACTCCTGACAGAAACCCAGAGGGTGAAGACACCGAAGCGGTTCCTCACGCTCCTCAGTCGTGGGTGCTCCGCTGCTGCAGTAGTTTTGTAAAGGCACTTTGCATTGGTTAGAGCAGCAATTTCCCTCCTAATAAATGAATCTTGGCTTACCAGGTGGGTTTGTATTTATCTGTACAAATCGAAGAGCTCCCTTTCAGGTTTTCGGTGCTTCCAGGCAGGGTCGTTTAGTGGAGGCCAATACTGTCGCGCGATACCCAGCTGAAGGCACGGCAGGGCTTGGACAGATGAATGGCAATAAAAGAACTTTTCATGGGCATCTGCTTTTGTGCACCTCAGTTCTTAACTCTTGGAACATGTATTTACTTTTCTGCCTCTCTGCTTGTTACAGGTCCGGGTTATTTTTAACTCCTTTTATATAATAGCCTAGTACCCGTTTAAATTTAACAATACATTTCTGGGTCTGCATTATTCTGGTGAAGTCAGTTTCTATTTTAGTGTTGGTTATGTTTCAGTTACTCAGAAAATAAAGTCAAATGGAACCTGTGTGTTTCAGTTTAACCCGGGGCTTCAGCATGTTCACAGGCTGATTCAAGTATTTCAACTTGTTACCTGCTGCCTGTAGACATCCGGAAAGCAAACTCTTGGCCTTGTAATGTACAGTTAAAAATTAACTTGGAAGTAATTTACAGTGGTAACGCTGAGATTTTCATATAACTGGGAGCTACTCAATGCAAATCTCACAATGACTGTGTATTTTTCAAAAGCATTGATAAACGTTTTTGCTTAGCCAGGTTTGAGCCAAAATTAGCAACCGCTGCAGTAAAGTCGCGGCCTCCCCTCCGTGTAGTATGCCAGGCAGCTCGTTGCCGCGGTGACAGGCTTGTTTTCTTACACTGGAAGGTGGAAAACCTTCGCTTTTCCTCCGCTGGGCAGAGCTGCCTTGTGAGCTCGCCTGGGCGTCAGTGCGTAGCAACAGGTAACGGGGAGGGCACGCGGGGGTCTCAGGATTGCTCTGGTGAGGGCAAGTGCTGCTGTCCTCGGGGGGAGAGGGAGCGTTACGGTTTTTTACCAGTACAGCACTGAAAGTGTTTCAATAAAAACTTCCTGGTTTGCATCCCGTTGCTAGGCCTGTGTACAGAGCACACAACGCGTACCTTTCCTCAGCACCCGAGCACTCTGCGTTGCTGCCGGCTCGTTCCGTGCTCTGGACAGAGGGGTCTTCCTGCACCACTTACAGAACTAGGTAGTCACTGTTATTTTCTCACTTGGATTTATAACACACGCTAGAGTAATTTGCTTAATTTCAATTTTTCATACCCCAATTTGTTGAGAAATAAACCTTGTCAAAGATAAACACATCCTTAAGGAGTACTTGGCCAAGTGTATGTTCGAGGCACTTCCAAGAGTTAAGAATATTGTTTCATGGCTGGGCTTTTATATAGCGGCTGCTCTTGAAAGTAGCAGCCATAAATGGAGACGGAGGTGTAAAGATGTGAAGTTAATGAAGCGTTGGTCCCTAAGCTGCAGTTCTACCAAAGTTTGATACCTAAACCTGTGCGCTAATCTAAAAGCAAATGGTACTTCCGGGCAGCAAAAATGTATTTCCCCAAAAGCGGCCCGGGCTGGTGCAGATGTTGTAAGTGTTTTGTGATTAGAGAACACTGAAACTAATCACATCATCTTAACTTTGATATCCTTTAAATTCTGAGGTGGGAAGGGGAATGCTAGATTTTGAAGCGTTGATTGTGTGATGTACTGACTTGCTGTCTTTGGTTCCTGTGTTTAAAACATGAACGTGTTTTCATATACTGTCTGCACTGCTGCAGTGGAGTGTTCACAGTCCTATCAGTCTGTGGTCTCTGACAAGTGCTTGTATCTTAAATTGTGTGCAGCGTGAAAGATCTTGAGTAACACTAAAAATCAGATATCTGATGGATGATTCTTTTTCTGCTGTGGGTGCTACAGGTTGACATCTCTATATATGATTAGCTTTTTCCTGAACTAAAGTAATCCAAGTATCTCCGTAGAAGAAAAAATGGGTCTTCATGTAGAAGATAATATCGCAAGATTGGAAAGAATAATATAATAACTGGCAAAGACTTCAAGATCAATGGTGCTAGTGTGCTGAAATCTTAGAACTTGTGGTTAAGCGAGTTTAAAAATAGCATGGAAATTTAAAATTTCAGTATAGTCCATAATGGATTGAAATTTGTTAAAATATTTCAATTTTGTATCAGAATAAAGTGTATATTGTCAAATGACTTCCGATCGAAAATGCGTTGCCATCACCTTTTTTTAGTGCTGTGAGGAACATAAAGCTGTCTTAAATCATTGCAACACACTGAGTTACAGGATCAGCTTTCCAACTTGGGACTGCAAGTCAGAAAACCTTGGTTCAGCCCAGCTCCGCAGCTTCAGTAGTTTTAAAACTGCATGTTTTGATCAAGAAATAAAGGGTCTCCATGTGGAGATTTTTCAGTGTATGTGTTCAGCATTGTGGTGTACTAGGCTTGGCCATGTCACTAGTCACTTTCAGGCTTGGGAACATGCTCTGTATCTCAGTAACAATAATAAAATGAAGGATATAGTCTGCAATCTGATGTTTTCACATATATATACCAAAATAAGCTAATGTGGAATATTTTTTTCTTAATGATGTTGGGTGTTTCAATGCGAGTGTGACATTCACTGTGTTCGCGATGTGAAAAGCACTGGTTTAAACTGAATGCAAGTGGTCGTGGCCTGAGTTACTTCAGACTGATTCTTTGCCTGGTGGAATTCAAACAGGGCTTCTGCATTAACTGCAGGGTTTTTGTTGTTGCTCTTTTTGTCTTGGTAATGGAATAAGTGTCCCTGTATTAGGTTTTAGACGTGTGGGTGGTACAAATACAATGACCCCTGCAAAGGCTGCAAGGATGCTATTTGCCTTTGGCTTTTGCATTAGTGCTAAAATAAGGAACAAATTGAAGTGGAGGGCAGGGGTTTACTGCAATCTCTGTTTAATAGCCAATTTGTAGTTAACGTATTTATATTGCAGCCAAAGAGAACATTTTCTCTGCGAGTCAGACATTTGATAGCCTAGTTAAATGGCAGGGGGGAGCCCAGGAGCTCTTCCTCTAGGTTCTCTGCTTTGCCATCAGACCTACATGTGTATTGGAGCTACTGCGTATCGGCATTGAGAGACCACCCAGGGCCTGAGCTCGGTGTGCTTCCTCCTTAAGGCCTATGTGCTAAAGTTGCCATCGCTAAATACGGATGAGATTCTCTTGCTTTAAATGGCAGCAGTGTCTCACATTCCCCTGCTGTTCATCCAGGCTTGGCGAGTGTTAGGCCTGGTTTCCTTCCTAGGCAGTGCTGGTGGCAAAAAGTCAATAGAGGTACAGTTGAACAGCACCAACAAGAAAAATACCCCTCACTGCTGCAGCATCTTTGATTTAGTTTAGCTGGTGCTTGGCTGCCTTACCTAGAGCAAGCGAACCTGCTTTGGCTGTCAAATCCAGCCTCCAGGTTTTCAACTGTTGGTATCGACCAGCTCTCCAAAACGAGGAGTGTTCCTCGCAGGCCGAGGATGGCGAGGGCGGTGCAGCGGGCCAGGTTGGCACGGTTGATACGGAGGAAGGTCGGTATAAACAAGGTAAGCAGCCTCAAAGTGCAAGCGGGGTCACCTGAGTTTATGTTTCCCAATGTCTCGTGCAAAACGCAAATGTTACTGCTTGATAGAACAGGCGGGTTCCCAGCACTTCTGGGGATGTTGGAAATCTGAGGCTACAGCTTTTTTCACGACTTGGCGGCATCTGCCGCCTCAGGTACCCAGGTTTTGTGGGGCAGGACCTCACTGGAAAGTTTTTAGCAAGTAACCCAGTATGAGAAGTTGAGTGAAACTCTTACTTTTCTCTTAACATCTGATAGTCCCAGGTTTAGGTACCAAAGACTCTTCTGGTGCTGGTCCCTGGCCGTTACACCTCTCTTTCAAAGAAGATATGGTTCCTGGCGTTACACTGCCCTCGAGCAAACTTACCTTCTTGGTGAAGCTGTTGCTGCTCTTGCTTTCCCAGCCCTCTTCCCTGCTTAGCTAAGGTTGTGCTGCAGATGAAGCACAAAAGGGGTGGGGGGGCATTGCACCAGGTACTAGAGAGGCCTCTGCTATTCAGAATCAGTGAGTGAGTTAACAGGAGCGTGAATGACAAGGTGACAAAGATTGGAAATAAAAAAAAAAAGGGGGGGGGGGGGGGGGGGGGGAGGTAACAAAAGCTGCTTGTGAAGTGTGACCAGCTGGACAATAACATCTGAAATCCTGTGCTTACAGGGAAAACCAGAAGTGGTACCTACGTAATCATAGGCTCCGACCTAGTTAATGCTATTCAGGTGAGAAAGCTTGGAGTCACAGGAGAGTTGTATGAAAGCAGCAAACAGCACAGAGACCTTGGGACAGACTAACATTCATCAGAACGATGGCTTTCTGTTCTCCCTCTTTGTGCTTAAAAAAGGTCCATAAAAAGTGTCCATAGTATGGGATTAGGGTTATGATAATCTAAAATTGTTTCTTTGTTTTTCATGGCCATAGTTTCCAATGAAACTATGAGCTGAGATGCTTTCTGCTCGGGTATGCAACTCCAGCACAGTTAAAAAGTTTGGGAAATAACAATGTCAAGACTGAATTCACCAATCACTGGCTCACTTTATTTAGCATTCTTCCAACTTTGAGCTACTGGAAGCCTGGTTTCCTACTCTGATGTCCCTCTTTAATGTTGTAGGAAAAGGGGTTTAAACGAATTTGGCAGGTCCTATTCTACCCTTTTTCAGTATTTCCAGTTCCTTTTTTTTTTTTTTTTTTTAAAGAAAAGTATCATAAGGTCTTGCAAAAGAACTTGGTGTTTATTATACTAAATGAAGTTATGCATAATATTGTAAATAGACAAAACATTCCTAAAATTATATAGAGCAGCAGTGGCAGAGCAAACATTCCAGATTAAACGTGCCTTTTAGAAGTTTTATAAGGAAGATGAATGAAGACGATACGGGTTTCCAATGTTCAGATCAATATGTATTTCAAATTACAAATTATGTATTTTCTGTATTCAAAAAATCCACAGTGATCAAGTACAATGAGTCTATTTGAAAAGTAATCAAAACAATGCTATTTGACCAATTTTTATTCTCTTATAAACCACAATTTAAACTCCACAATGCTTTTCAATTAATTGAGCACGGGTTCCAAACAGTGCAGTTGGTTGGCAGGTACTATGCCTTCTCCCATAAGCTCCAAAGTAACAGCAGTGACAAACAATGCTCGCTGATCAGAGACACACATTTCTAGAACACAATTTCTAGAACAATTACTCAAAAGTGTATAGAATTTTTAGTTAGAAGAATGTATAATGCTGACAATGTCTTAACAGATTTTAAATGCCTTTGGAGGAAAGATCTCATTATGAATTTAAGTAGTGTTCAAAGAGCCAAACAAAAATTACGTAAGCTTAGCATAGACTTGAAACTTAACTTTGTTACATAGTTCTTCCAAATGGCAGTTAAAGTTATGCTGACTAAGCATTAGTAATGCTGACGATGCTGAATGATGCATCTCTGGTTATTAAGCACATTTGTTACATGAGGATTTAACCTTGGAAAACTAGTGAGGATTTCCCTTCTTTAGGGAAATAAACATGTATGAAGTAGAGTTAAAAAAAGTTTAATGAACTGATAAATCAGAATCAAACACTAAGTATCAACTTATATACTAAATATAAAGCAAGTATAAATGTAAGAAAAATGGGAAACAAACACTATTGCATATTTATAAAAAAGTATCAGAAGCCATACTGTTTGTCTTGCAAGAAATTATATTTAGAAGGCTAAAATCATTTATATATATATATCTCAAATAAATCTATGAATATAACAAGAGATAGGAACAGTTTATAAATATGGTATCTTTAAATATTTACATGTATGTGGAAACTAGTCAAAGTGGTGCTGTAAGACAGAAACGTCTGTTATAAAAGTGAGATTACAAATTTTGCATACATCCATCTGCATTACACTATTAAACTTGCATCTTCCATAAACTAGTTATTAACTTTATAGTTATCATTGCATAGAATTGCTTGAAAAATATCACCTAATTCTGCATTTCACCTCACAGTAAAAACTATCAGGATAATGATACAAAAATAACAACTCGGAGAACAGCAGCCAGCTGTGCTGCCTTTCAGAGTTTAGTCTCTGACTTCATGCTTTTAGGAACAAGAGTGACAATGCCATCTCTAGTTTGCTGCAGTGAATAATCACTAGGAGAGTAAGACTTTCCATCTTCATCACGGAGCATGCTGAAGACCTCGAGGTATAAGGTGGTTAGCTGCTTTTTCATTTGACGAAGGCTTTTGTCGTGCTCTCCTTTTTCCTTAAGCAACTTCTCTTTCTCATCTTTTAGGTTACTCAAGTCTTGCTCCAGTTCCACTATATTTTCCAGTTTTCTCTTGCGGCAATTTTGAGCAGCCACTTTGTTCTTGCCTCTCCTGCGTATATCTCGAATAAGCGCAAGCTGGGCTTCGTTGAACTGCTCCTTAGACATCATTTCATTGAAGTCATCAACAGGGAGATTGATGATTTTTTCAACAGGAAAAGGGATCTGCAGAGCTTTTGCTCTCTGCTCATCTCTCGTGAGATGAGCTTCGAGGCGGCCTGAAGGTTTATCTTTTGTGAACGGAGCTTTGGGGTGGCCTGGACCAGCAGGGGATTCTTTCTTTGGTGCATTTGCACACTGCAGACCAGGCGTTTGAGTGCTTGGCCCCACAGAGGAAAACACTTGGTCCTGGAACTGCAAAGAGTACCCACTAGCATTGCTCTGTGGCACACTTCCAGGAGCACTGTCCACGTCCTCCATTTCAGAATCGCTACAACCAAAAGTCTTATCTCCATAGGCAGATGATTCAACAGAGTGCTCGGGTGATGCTACACTAGAACTTGCGTTCAATGAAATACCAGAGTCAGAGTCACTACATTCTGGTACGGTTCCTGAGTGGTTGCCATTAAAAGCTTTACACAGTGAGAAATCAGAAAGATCAATAGGTTCACTTAGAATTTCCGCAAGCGATTGACTGATAGTGTTTGTCGTGGCTGTGTCACCATTTGCCTTTGTATCAATAAAGGCGGCGTAGAAATCCTCACAGAAATCAGAGTTTGAAGGGGACGCGTCATTTAAAGAGTTCACACTCAGCTGGCTGGTGTCTTCTGGTGGCAAAAGGCTGGAAAATGGGCCCTCGATACTATCCAGGAAATCTGGACTGCAGTTGTTTCCTTTTCTCATGATGGGTAATGAGCTGCAGTAATTATAACTGTTGTGCATCTCTCTTGCCTTGGTTTCAGGGCTCGTGATTGTGCTTACCTCTGCCAGGTTATCGTTTTCAATGTTAAGACACTACATGGGAAGTGCAAGAAAGAAGTTGAGCGACACATCTCCAAATGATAAAACATTTTTCTATAATCCACAAACAGTAACTGTTTCAGCAATCAAAATGCACAGGGTGTGTTACAACACTGCTGTAACCCAGATGACTACAGCAGGCTTTCACTATGGGAAAGCAATCTAGGAAGAA